CCTGATTCATCTCCTTGCTGTTTATTCAGCCTTCCAAGTGACCCTGTGTCCTCCACTCAGACTAATTAGTTAAGTCCAACTCTGGCTACAAAGGACAAACCTTTCACAACTTTCTGAAAACCCTCCTGTTTGAAAGGTTTGAATAATCTGAAAGAAAAAAAAGTAATATACTGCATTAAATTTCACATATGTTCTTCATTAAAATAAACTACTATTGTAGCTCATTGTCTGGGATATAGTTGTAGAACTGCAGTTTTGCTTTGAAGCAGTTTTGTATCTGCTGGATGGGTGACAACGGGGTTTTCACTCCTGTTGCTTCGGTATCCTATTCTGCTGGAGGTAGACACAGGCTGCAGGCAGAAGGTCACAGATCTGGCTTCCACACCCTGCTGAGCTATTCAGCTGAAAAACTGGCCACGTTGCAGAACCATTTTGGGTAAAATCCATGGGTGTGGAGACATCATTTACAAATACCAGAGTCCTTCTCTGAAAGAACTCTAATCCTGATTTATCAGAGCCAAGCCTCCCTTTAGATAGCTATGGTTGCTGTTTTGGGTTTCTCAGAGCTGTGAACTGAGATAGTGCTGGAACATCTCCGTAGCCATAGGCACCGAAATTTTGCAAGAAATGCTTTTTTGTGGTACCTGACTGAAATTTCTGCAGCTAATAGAGACATGTAAATGGGAAGGATGTAACTTGGCTCCAGAGAAGCAGTCTGTAAGGAGAGCAGCCTCTAAGGATATGTTTGCTTCAGAGAAGCATCTCAGAGTCTTTTGTCAAACTAGACAGTTTGACAGGAATTTAACCAATACTCCTTTAGGTTTAGAAAAATAAATCTGTAGATGTCTTTGCCTTACAAGTAAGACCAAGGTCTCATCCGCTCCAGTGATAAAAGTCTGAAACAGAGCTGGCGTAACAGCTAAGGTAACAGGTTAGAGGAGCAACTATGTTTCCTCCTGACCATAGCACAGGAGAAAGAGAGCACGTAAGCCAGCCAGGTTTGTAGCAGTGAACCCTGTCAATGCAATGACATCTGTCTCTCTGTGCTGTTTAAAGGACATACATGAACGTTGCGCTCTGTTGGGGTTTAACCCGGTAGGCAGCTAAACACCACACAGCCGTTTGCTCACTCTCCCCACCCCGCCCAGTGGGATGGGGGAGAGAATCGTGGAAAAAAAAGTAAAATTTGTGGGTTGAGATAAAGGCAGTTTAATAGGACAGAAAAGGAAGGGAAAATAATAATAATAATATAATAATAATAATAATGATGATGATGATGATGATAAAAGAATATACAAAGTAAGTGATGCACAATGCAATTGCTCACCACCTGCTGACCAATGCCCAGTCAGTTCCTGAGCAGCGGTCACTGCCCCCTGGCCAACTCCCCCCAGTTTATATACTGAGCATGACGTCACATGGTATGGAATAGCCCTTGGGCCAGTTTGGGTCAGCTGTCCTGTCTGTGCCCCCTCCCAGCTTCTCGCTGGCAGGGCATGAGAAGCTGAAAAGTCCTTGACTGGTGTAAGCACTGCTTAGCAACAACTAAAACATGGGTGTGTTATCAACATTATTCTCATCCTAAATCCAAAAGACAGCACTGTACCAGCTACTAGGAAGAAAATTAACTCTATCCCTGCCAAAACCAGGACACCCTTCTATGCTCTGTCCCTGTTGCCACTCTTCTCTCCATGCTGCCCTTACCGGTAGCCAAGTCTTCCATCTTGCATATTCCAAGCATCAGTGTGCAGACTTGTTGATATTAGCAAAAATTTGTTAAAACTGTCCATGGTGTCCCTAGTTGCTATGCTTTGACCAACAGGGTAGTGGTGAGGAATGCCCTATCTTGAAAGCACGGAATTTGGAATTTGTTTCAGACTAGTTACAGTTCCCTCTGCTTCCTTGCCAAGCTTTTCTCTGGCTGTAAATCGTTCTGGTATGGCCTTTGGTAACACATCAAGTTTGGATTGTTTTTACCAACCAGAGGTTTTCCCAAAGAAGTACAGACAGGCTAACACCTAAAAAAATGGTTGTTAGTAATTGTTTTAGAAAATTTAATGTACTTACAAGCACGAGTGCCACACTGTTGGGTCACCACTACGAATTCCTCTTTACTTTCTCCAATATGATGCATGGATGAGTGTACAACGAAGGGAAGCTGCATTGTTCCATCAGGAATAAAAGCATCAGGCACAGATGAGAGAAATGGGATTTGTGCCTTATCATGTGTAGGCTTTGCGAAGTCTGCAATGCCTTATAACAGATATTTCAAAAAATTAGAAGATTTCAGCAAAAGATCTGCTTATATTTCTGGTACTGTCAAGGTTTAGATTCCTACTGGCTGGTTTCGGCCCCATATTTATGATGTTCCATGTCAACATACCTTGAAAATATTTTCTTTCTGCTCTTATGTTACTAGAAATTATTAATAATAAGCTGCTATATTAGAGTTTAAGATAAGAAAATGGGAGAGAATTCAGTAAGCACATGCTCCTAATATCTGGGAGAAAGGAAAAAATGCAAGGAATAGTGAAAAAAGCACTGTTAGAAACAAGCAGTTCCCAAAGCACAGAAACTTAAGAAGCCAGGTTTTTAATGGGTTTCTGTGTCACAGATGACTATTAAAAATGAATTCTAGAAAAGCTGTGGTGTGAATTCCCCAGGATTAGACATGGAAATGGTGAATGAATTCAACAACTGAGGATAAAAAACCTTCAGCTGGAGTTAGTGTCTCTCCATGTAACCCAGAGAATCTCATTTTTCTTTGGGAGGGGGGGAACTTGCCTCCCAAATGGATCCTCTGATACGTCAGCAGAGCTTAACTTATATTACATTATCTGCTGTCTATGTACAGTATGTGTAGGAATGTCATGGTTTTGATACCATAACCTCCCTGCCCTCTTTAACTCAAATTGGACAAAATCCAAAAGGTATTAGGAGTACTGGCAGGACACATGTACTCGCATTTATGCACGTATGGTGTGTGTGAAGAAGTCTTGATTCTTTAGTAAGACAAGCTAAAGTCTACAGAAATTTCATGTGAATTAGCACAACATTATCCCTATAATGATGTGAAGAAAAAGAAACCCCAGCTTTCGGTGTAGCTCAGTATAGCCCTGTTCTGTATCACACACTTCATCTGCCTGCAGTTCTGGACAGTGAACTAAAAGCTTGAATTATCTCTTGTTTTTATTGTACAATAAATTATAGAACTTACTGTTCTATCCTCCCTTTATACAGTATGGAGGGAAAGCTGGTGAATGGACTGGTGAGTGGACTGAAAACCTGTTGTTTAGGTCATTTACAGAGAAAATCCTGCCATGTCAGATTGATTGGACAGGAATTTGTGTATGTTTGTGCTTGGAAGACCAGCAAAAATGATTTCCATAGTCTTGAGGAAACACCCTTTTATTGTAGAGAAGTTTGTATACACAGATGCGATGTATTTACAACCAGATTTTCTCAAACAGATGACTGTTTAAAATCCTTCACAAATCTGTCAAGAATGAAAGAAAATGAAGCTCAGAAGCCCAGCCAGCCAGCCCAACCCCCAAATTCAGATTCATTCCTGAAGATAACTGCAATGAAATAATAATACATGGAGTTATTCTGAAGGAAGCAACAGGACTGTGACAGAGATCAATGGATGGACTTCAGGATTGGTTCAGTGAAAAGCATTGCTTAGTTTGATCTCAGAGTAGATGAACCCCAATGTAAAATTCCAACAAGCAGATGGGGACCTGCCTTTTCCCAGAGGTGTGGAAGAGACAAGCAGAAAGAGTCTGGCCCTTCCTTCCCTGACCTCTGCAAGGACAGGTCACAGTGCCAACCTCCATGAAAAGAAGTTGTCGGTCCTGTGTTCCCCTGGAAAGCTCTTTTCCAGAAAAAGGCAGGAAAAGATCCACTATTCTTCAGTCTGCAGACTGGAGTCAATGCACTGAGGGTGAGAATGGGTGTCCTCCTTAGGAAGGGTGTGGACTCGCATGCCAGCCCAGTCACAGGAGAGATGGCACCTTGGTTTCTTCTGGTGCCCTTCCAAACTGTGGCTCAGCTCTGCACTGCCCTTTACCTGGGGCAGTGTGCAATGGCATCAGTCTGACTTCAGCCTGTTCAATCACCCCAACTTCAGCCTGTTCAATCACCCCAAATGCAGGGGAGACAACACAGGGGGAAACGATGAGAGGTAGAGACACACATTATATTCCTTTTTCCTGTTCCTTTTCCATTAAAAGTAGAACCTTCATCAACAACACAAAGTTACATGTGCAGGAGGCACTTCTCTGGGGAAGAAATAAATACCTCACACAAGCATTCATGGATGGATGAGTCCCATGAGAAAGATGCTCAGCACAACCAGTTCAGTCGTAAAAGGAATCTAAAATCCCCACGTTGATGTGTATGATAAACATGCGAAACATATCTGCTAATGCTCGAGGAAGTTACATGCATAAATTTCCCATAGGTTGGGAACATATATCTTAGAATCTGCATAATTTAGTTCACACTCAGCAGAACATTGCGATATTTACAGGCACATTCTAATGGGAAAACATTTGCATATTGAGTGCGAAAGACGCAGCTTTGTCACCTAACCACGGGACTTTAAAAGCAGGGATTTTGTGACCTGAAAATACTATTTGTGGAGTTGGTGAGGAGGAAAAAGTTGTGTAGGCAGGAAAAGAAAATTACCAGAAGTTGGTAAGAACTCTTTTTTTTTGAGCGTTAGAATGGCTGCAGGCTGGGACAAAGTGAGTCCATGTAGACCACAAGTTCTGACTTGTTACACATCACAGAGTGCCTTGTCTACTCTCATTTCCCATACTTATTCTTCCCAATTAAATTTGTTTCCCATTAGCCAGGTTGATGATAATAGTGCGTAAGGCTCATTCTTCTTGCAATCACCATCCTTCAGAGCATAATAACTTAATAAATTATTGCAGAACAGGAATGAAGTGGAATGTCACTTTTTTGGACTTGGTCTGTATTCTGAAGGTGAACGTGGGCATCTGAGAAACACATTTGTAATGCTTTGGAAGTTTTACAAATGAAAAAAAGAAGGTTACACTCTGAACCTGATTGAGAATGCAAAGTTCTACGTTCTCTAGCACTGCATGTCAGACATGGTGGAAAAAGCTATTCAGTGACCTTAGTGCCACCCAGAATTGTTCTGAAACTAGTTCACTAGTTTCTGAAAAACTACTGTAGTTGCAGCAAATTATTAAAACTATCTACAGAATTTTAATCGTACAATTTAGGTTTCAATATGTCAGCAAAACAGCAACGTATAACCCATAGAGGTTGTATCCTGGAAGTGAAATTATCAAACTATTGCTCCTGAAATGTCTGAAAAGTAAAGCTATCCTCCCTAGGTACACAGCACTTTCTCGCTTATGCTGACACATAGGGTGGTGGTGGATCTTTAGCAGCTCCGTTCACAGGATCATCATATGGTGGTAACAGGACCTGCAGGAAAGGAAAAAAAGGTTATATTTTTTAAAAAGAAGCCAGCTGATAAAATTTACAGAAAAGAAAACCCTTAAGGCCTTGTCCTAAAAAATAACAAAAAAAGAGTAAATTAGTAAGCAGGAGCAGAATAGTTAGAAAATGAAACAGTATTAGCTTGAAGAGCCTCCTTTTCAATTTGTGTGCCTGTTTTCATTATGAAGGAAAACATGATTTCTTCTCATTTCTTATTGACTCCAGTGACAGCTTGATTTCAGCCAAAGATCATTCATTGCTGGTACCTGAATTTATTTAATCTGGTGGTGACAGTAGCTGCTTATTCTGCATCTCTCCTCTACCAAGAGCGCTTAAACCATGTCTCCTGGAGGAGTGCTCAAACTGCTAATCCAGAATGAGAAAAGTCCTGAAAACCTCTCTTTCTGAGGTCTCCCTGGAATAGCTAATAATTATTTTGGGGTGGGGAGAAAGAAAGCAAATGGAGAACAAATTACCCAATGTCTAAATAAATCTCCAGTTTTGTGCTTCTGGGGCATTCAGCCATGAGAAGGAAGACCTACATTCCTGATCTCGATAAAGTCAATGGAAATTTTGCCATGAGAGGATTTCACCAGTTCTTAAAGAAGTTGACAACCTGCCTTCTGCAAAGAAACATCCATAATCATCCCTTTTGGACCTCATCCACAACATAACAAAATCAGTGGGAATCTTTCTATAGATTTAAATAGCCTTTGGATGAGGCTTCTGTGGGATAGTTCCAAGGGTGATTCACATTATATTTATGTGAGTTTACAGACATGCATTGATAACCATGTGTTCAAGTACATCTGCGCATATGTTTGCTAGATTACAGACTGGCTACCTTGGCATCTTCAGCCCTTAATCAAAAAAGTTTCATTATTTAGAAAAGGAAATTTTCAGAGCCATCACTCTTTATTAATACCATATGTTTGAGCTTGTAAATGCAATATACTATGCACACATCCACTACATAATCTAAAAAGCCTTGTATTGAAAAGCATTTAACAAATTATGTCAACTTTAAAGGGTGCAAACAGCTTATGGCAGACTACTTATCTAGTGAAATTAGGACAACATATAGAACTTCAAATAAATATTGTGATAAAAATCATAAATATATTTTACAATGTAACCTCAGTAAATCACACCGCTAAACATGTAAACTGTGAAAAACACTACAGTTGAGATCCTCTCCCTAGTGCTGATCATTATTTTAATAACAGGGTTTCTAGTAAAATCCTTGTGTTACTAAAAAAGGCACTAGTTTCTCAAATGTACTGAAACATGTTCATTAGTTGATTATGAAGCAATATAATTAGTTATTAACTCTGATCTACAGATGAGACTGAAAATGAATCAAGTTCACTTTGTGAAGATTTAGCCATCTTATTGCACTCCTGTAATGCTAAGCCCCAAACTGTGGTCCATTCCTTTCAGGTTCAGAGTCCATTTCATCAGGCGTGGTAAGAAATGACAGCAGACGCAATCCAAAAAGCTGTCCATCTTCCAGGTCTACGAGCTGATTAATAAAGGACAATAGCTCTTCCTATGCTCTGGTCCTCTTTTAGATCAACGTGTCCTAAGACTACTATAGTTACATCAATATTATTACTTCAGCACTGAGGTTACTGTCATTTGCAGTAGGTGTCCTGGAGGATTTACTGATATGAGTGAGCTTCTTCATTCCCTTCACTCCTGTATGAAACAAAATCTGTCTGGTAGGAGAACAGCCTCCTGGTGAGGCGTTTACCTCCTGGGAGGTGAGCACTCTGCTTTGCTCTATGGACCCAAAACTCATACGTGGGTCAATGGCCCCAAGGACCCTCAGAAGGCGCTTTCTCACTTATCAACAGTTCAACAAGAAGCGAGGGGAGATAGGAATACCTACAGGAGCCATTTTGGAGAAGCCACTGGCTAAATCCTAAGGCATATGGATTTCTATAGGAATATTCAAGGTATGTGGGGTATGAACTGGGGAGACCACTAAAAAGGTTCAGAAGTTTCACAAGTATCTACAGTAGAAGGCTAAAGAGTATTTGCCAAATGTCTGTAAGGTTTAGGGTCACTTTATTGCTGGCAAAGGTTATTTGTCTGAACAGTTCTATCAGTGATGACTTTACAGGCTTACTCCCCACACATTTTTGTGTTTAAATATTTAAATATCCTGATCTTGCATTCCCTGACATGAACAGAATAGTGATAAAAAATAATGAGTGTAGAATGAGCAGAATTCAAAATGACTACCTTTGCCTAGCAGTGTTCGAGTTAGACAAAGAAAATATGGACAGGATATTAAACAAAGGTTAAGATGAATGAACGTGAGGGACAATGTGTGGAAGAAAGCACTCGGAGTTTGTGGAATACATGGCGCCAGCTGGGACCCCAAGTATCTCACATCATTAGTATAGTAAAAGTCCTTTAAACTAATTTAACTGTTTTACTTTCAGTCAATGTGGTTTTGTTACTGTTACTTAATCATCTGTCAACCGTAAGTCTAAATAATCATCCTTCAGCTTCCACGACAGTTTGAATAACTCTTCAACCACTCTATAATTACAAATCTTGCAACTCTGCCTCTGTAAGACTACCTTTTAATTTTTTTTTGACAAGAACAGATTTTCAGGCCATTACTTTCCCTTAATAATTTTTCCATCTTTTCTCAATTAAGTTTATTTTGGCAAAAGGGAGAAATATGATAAAACCTGAATGATCTCAGCTTTTAACTGTTTACTGTTGAAATGGTTAAGAGTTTACAAAAATCTCAAGGAAAAGAGAATTCCATTAGAATTTTAATCATTTAATTTATACCAAAGTAGCTGAGATGAAAATCTGGGTCAGAGTAGTTTTCCCTTCTCTTGTGTTAATTTTAAATCTCAGCATGGTTTAATGGAAGCAGATAAGTGCCTTGAACATAAAGCAGCACAGTTATTCAGGCAGTACGTTATGCTCTCCAGAGACGTAAAATGGAAGCCAGTCACTGAGCCAAAGGGTGAATTCAGAAACTGGAAAAATAGACAGAAGCTCGCTATTCAGTCTTATCTAAGAACCTAATTAGAATGGATGCAGTCTAAAATAATTCATGAAAGACAAAAATACATGCATATTTTAGGTCCATGGTATCCCCAAGGCAGAATATCCACCAGGGCAACTGATGCGTTTTCCTTCCTAGGCACTACATTTGAGCATTTCCTTGCTTGCTTGTTGTGAGTTGAGAAAAACGTATATTAGCTCTCCTGGATGCTCTGGGACTAATGTTTAGAGTGTTTGAGATTGTCACTCACAAGTTATTATAAAAAGTAAGTACGAAGGACCCCCACTTTTTGGAACTCAGTGATCCCTGTGAAAAGAAGTTCTGGATTTTTATCAGTAGACCAGCAAGCAAGTTTGGAAGATTAGATGGTTGCAGGGTTCAGTCCTATAGGATGCATAAAATCCAAAGGACAGAAGCTCCTAACTTCTTTCACAGCCCCTATAACTGTATTTAAGAACCATGTAGCATTTTAACACCATCCTTTAATATGCAGCCAGAGGAGGAGGTGACATTACTCACTGTTTGTACAGTTGTTTGGTGATAAAAGCATTGCACAGAGACTCTGAGATCAGAGCTCTAGGGGCTCCCAAACCAAGACGGTTCAAACCCACAGCTCCTATCTGCCATATGAATGCTCCAGACACAAGGTTTTCAGTTAGGTTGGAAGGACCATTTTTCACCCTTCTGTTGTCACAGTGAAGCTAAGTATGCAAGAATCCATGGGGAAAGAAAGAAAATAGGAGAAAGTGTGGCTATGTAGTCCCATGGTTAGGGTGCTTAAGTGGGACAGGGAGTCCTGGGTGCTGGGATTTGCTCCCAATACCGTTCAAGCATTTTGTGATAAGCAGTCTTGTATAATATGCAGAAATAATCCAGAACTGACCCATAAGAAAACCTGGTCCTGACTTAGCTGGTGTCATCCAAGTGGTCTGGATAATTGTATTACATAAGCATCTCTCTATTATAAAGCACATGATACAGGATGACCTTCTCTGGAAGAAATAATTACCATACAAGTTTGCCAATGGCTATAACATATTCAGTTAATATAAGCATATGTCATTTCTTATTTTTTACATCCTGGTTAATCTGGTTTTGGAGAATAAGTTTTTAAAGACATTGCTTAGAAATATGCCTAAGAAGAAACACAGGCAAATATTTGTATATTCAAACAGTTTGGAATTAATCTTGGCCCAAAGGTGGGTTTTCGGGGGGGAATTGCATAATTTCAATAATCACTCCATCTTTTTGCAGCTGATTCCACATTTACCTGAACTTCCAGTAGAAAATTTCCTTTCTTCAGCATATGTACAAGTTTTCTCATATTGCTGCAGTTATTCCTGTTTGAACTCAAGCTCTTAGGTCTGTTTGGTGTCTAGTACATTTCTAGAGGAGAAAATGTGCTTAGTCCTGTATGAGCAAACTTAAATATTTGATTAATTGATTATTTCTGCATTCTTAAGGGGCTCACCCAAAACTTACTGAACTCAATAGAAATCTTTCTGTGTCTCCCGAGAGCTTTGTATCGCTTTTTCCAACAGGCATTTGTATTCTTCACTGGGTGGAATGGTACAATTGTCACATAACAGCTTTGAGTTTGAACAGCACTTTGGCTGGCAGCTATATGAAACTTTTGTGAGTTCCCATGGCAGAATACCTTGTTGATGTCTTGTTAGAAACAAACGTTGTTAGAGACAGCTCTAACATACTTTTCTCTAACACCTTCTAGAACAGAAATGCACTTAATGCCAAAAAAACTACATATTGAAAATGTCTATGGTAAATGCTGATGGTTGTAGTGAGCATTCAGGACGTTTTCTCAAACTTTAGCTTTTCAATAAAAACTCCAGTCCTTTACGATGAAGGACTTCACGTTGCATCAATACACAGTATATAGACAGGGACAGGTGACAATGAGTAGTTGAGTGGAATTAGGGTCATCACTACTGCA